CATTATCTTGCATTTATTATAATTAAAACCCATCTGCCATTGATCTGCCCAACTCACTAAATGATCTAAATCCTTTTGTTAATCAGCAGCATCCTATTCACAGCTGGCAACACCCAAGGCCTTAATATCATTTGCAAATTTAAGTAGTTTATTGACTATCGCTTCATTTATGTCATTGATGTAAATCAAAATGAGCAAAGGTCCTAAAACTGAGCCCTGAGGTACCCCACTTATGACATTAATCCAGTTTGACGGAACTCCATTTGTAACAACCCTCTGCTTTCTTCCATCCAGCCACTCTTCTATCCACTTTGCTAACTTATCCCCAACTGTTTATATTTGAGCAAGACAACTATTTAGTATATCAATGAAAGAGTTCTTACAAAACATTTGATCTTCATATATTATTTCATTAGACTGCTTTTGTTTATATAATTAATATATTGTATAATATAATTTTGCATATATTTGCCCTGAAAAGAACGTGTATTTTAATAATATGCAATAATCGAAATTTCATGCTTAGTTTTATAAGTTAATGTAAATAATTTTCCGCTAAAGTTTAATTCTAAAAATGTATATACCACTTTACATAAATAGCTATGTTTAACCATTACTAATATAGAAATAAAAAATATCATTCTTACCTTTCTGTAGATATTTTCACAAATCTTTAGGCATATGTTGACAGATTTTTACTAAAACTAATTGCATATAGGTATTATTTCGTTTCTACTTGAGGGTTATTATCCTTAAACGTAAGCAATAGAAGCAATCTTCAAACAGTGTGGACACTTCAGTCCTATTGGATATTTAGTCTGACTAATCATGACCTTTTACCAAACTTTTGTATGTCCCTGAAGTTAAAGGTCAGTAAACATAGTGTATTGGTTCTTTCACTTTACACAGTAATACAAAACTCTAAATATGTATTTATGATATTCTGTTTCTGAAGATTTGATGGGACATGTTCAATATATACATTTCAGTTAGCATACATTTTTTGTAAACTTTATATTCAATTAGACTGCATGAACTATTTATTCATGTTTCTAACAAATATGTTTAACCATCTAATACAAGTCTCCATATATATTGTTTGTTTGTTTGAAGTTAAACACAAAACTACACAATGGGCTATCTGTACTCTGCCCACCACAGGTATGATACCCGGTTTCTAGTGTTGTAAATCTACATACATACCACTTGTCACTGGGGGCTCTCTCTATATAGATATGCTATCATCAAGTATGTAAGTAAAATCATAAACTCTAAGTTCTTAATTAAAAACCTAATTCTACTTTGTTCAGACTAAAGATCAAATCTCAGATAATGATGTGTCTAATTTAGTCTTTTATGACACATTACATCCCATGAATATTAGTTTCTAACAAATGTGTTTGAACTTCTAATACAAGTCTACATTTATATTTTTACGTAAAACTCATGTTTCATCATAGCCCAATATATATTAAGCAGGTATCATTAATACATGTAAGTAAAATCACAAACTTAACAAGTATCACATATGATGAAACATTTATCAACAAAACTTCAAGAATTAGGTACACTAATATACTATTGACGATTGTTTTAATATTTCATTACTTATTTGAAACCTGAAATTAGTAACATTTGGGAAGTTTGAAAGGAAATATCCTTTCTTCACGGTATTACAAAATTCCAAACTCACGTGGTAGTGCTTTAGAATGGAACATTTCTGGGCTCATAGTAGTGAAAGAGTTAATAATGTCCCCATACCCGAAGTCAAAATTGCTTATTAGCACCCTCCACTGGTAAATAAAGCAAGGTGTCAAATATAACAACAGACGTCCCGGGAATTATTGAGTTTTCTCCAAAATCTTTATGTTTTGTTTTAAAAACAGGTGTGCCTAAAGAATATAACTAATTCAGCAAACTGATTTTTTTCTGTTGCCTTTATCATAATGCCTCGTGGTAGAATGGAGTACCTTTCACAGATTTTGACAATGGTATTTAAAAACGTCTTGGCTTTAGCAGTGGTATAATCACACAAAATAAACTTTAGCACTGTGTAACGTCCCAAAATAATGACTTCAATTTCAAGAAAATAACTCACCTGCGTTTCCTTCATTAAAAGAAAAAAAATCCACCACGATATCAATGGATTGGAGCGCTTTCTGAACACATATTTATAATAATATTTTATAATATAGGTAGTGGCCTAGGTACCAAAGCAGACAACAGTTATAGAAAAACATTCTGGGATATTGCGTGCGTGCTGAATATCATCGTAACTAAATCTGCTTTTATTAATTTAGCCCTTTAAGATATTGCTCATTTAGAAATATTGTAATAAAAATAAACCGTTTATATACGGAGAAAACCTAGGAGCTATAGACCCTCCACTTTTCTTTTTAAATTAAAATTAAATGGTACATTAATGGTTTCTGAACAATACTCAAGATGGCAATGTCTGCTGGGGAAGCCTTAACCAACATATTGAGTTGTTTTGTTTTTTTTATTTAGAGCAAACCTACACGAGGGCTATCTGCACTAGCGTCCCTCATTTAACAGTGGCAGAATAGAGGGAAGGCAGCTTGTCAACACCACCCACCGCTAACTCTTGGGCAACTCTTTCACCAACAAAATGTAGGATTGATCGTCACATCATAAGACACAAACCCCCGGCTGAAAGGGCGAGTATGTGCGATGACGGTATTCAAACCTGCGACCCACAGATTGCTAGTCGAGCGTCCTTACCATCAGGTCTGCCAGTTTTGTAGCTGCGTTCGTAGTTCATCAAGAGTTCAAATGACCCAGTGAGCAAGAACAGCTTGAATTATTCCTAATGTAGAGATGTAATAATATACTAGAGATGCTATAATATAAGATATAAATATTTGTCTGACGCGTAACATCACGCGGCACAAGTTTAATTATACACTAGATATTATCATTAAAGTGATAAATAACTCATTTAAAGCAATGAATGGAAAGTGAAGTAACCGAATTTACGGTATAAATCTAAAGGAAATTACTATTAAAATACACCCACATGGATCTGGTTGGAGTTTATAGATGAGACAGGACATTACAAGAAAAACATCTTTGGTATGGCAGCAACAGATAAATAAAGAATAGGGAAGAAGAGGGGAAGTTAAGGGAAGCAAGAGATAAAATCTACATTTCTTAAATAGGGCATAGAATTTCTCGTGTTAACAGATCATTAAGCTTTCTATGACCAATACAGGCACTACGACTGTTTGTTTCAGAATTTTCGCGCTAGCCGTCCCTAATTTTTAACTGATAGATTAGAGGGAAGGTAGCTAGTCAACAGCACCCACCGCCAACTCTTGAGATACTCTAGTTTTATTGAATAATTGGACTAGATCCATCACTTTAATAGCACAACCATGCCCATCAAGTGCAGAGCGCCGTTTTGTGGCAACGGATCGCAATCCATGTATCCTCGGATTCACAGTTCGGGTATGTTAACTACCAGGTAACGCCCGGACAGGGATGTATTAATTAGATGTTTAGCGTAAATATATAGAAAGCTTTGGGCTTAACTACAAACAGAACAAAATAAAAACCTTCTTCTCTTACTTTTTCAACTTAGGGTTTATTGTTCTTTTTAAAATTTTGCCTCCATGTTTTTTCTATGTCCATATACCGTTCTTTTTGTCACACCTTGTATGAAAAAAAATTTGTTTTCCTTGTACATAATTCCGTTTAAACGAGTAGCCGCAGAACGCCACCTTTTATTTTTGAACTACAGTGGATTATAAAGATAGTGCCAGTGAACGAGGAAACGGTCGATATATCGATTATGTTACATGCGGGGGTTAAAAATAACTAGTACATGTGTTCGTAGGCTAGTCTTTTTTCACACATTTCATGATCACAATGTCGCAGGTTGAAGCTGTTAAAAAAGCAGGTTAATCAGCTACGAGAAGAGTCTAATATGTACAGAATTAATGTTTCACAAGCATGCGAGGAGTAAGTATGATTTCAACTTTCAAGTTTTTTACATTTTTGATGTTGTAATAGGTGAGAGTATATAACCGTATATTTTCATATAACTTGTAAGTTGTAGAATACCTGGTATTGTAGTGTCATTTTCGATATCCAGTCTCTGATATCCTCAAATAATGATCCTAGTGGGTCAGCGATTAAGATAACAGACTTACAATGTTAAAATCCGGGATTCGATTCCTTGTGGTAGACACAGCAGATAACCGAATGTGGCTTTCCTCTAAAAACAAAGAAACCTATAATAATAATACATAATTAAAAAATTTGCAAATCTACGTAATCGTGAATAAAATATATTTATGTCAAATTAAGGAAAATAATTCTTTATCGATGCTGTTTTCGAAAGTGCAGTTTAACATTGTCTTTTTTATATTTTACTAGAGATAAAATGGACATTTATATAATTTTATTTTTTATCTGTGACTTATTTCATGCTTAAGTGTATACGATTCAAACGACTTTAACTTAAGTAGGATAAACGTATCGAAAGAAGTGACAGTATTGTTACGTCTCTGGTCGTTCGTTAATTTTCCGTAGAAATTCTTACCGAAGAAACTTTACCGATACAAGTCCTTTCTTAAATAAAACTGGTTTATTCTTTCTGAATACAATTTTGCGATACACTTAATTTCAACAGTCGCTCTATAACAAACCTATAATTCACAACGAACTTCTCACGTGCTCAACAATATTCTCTCTGTCTGCAGTTCAATTACTCATTACCTTCTTGCCATCACGTTGTGACCGTCTTATGTATAAAAGAATACCGAGATCTAGTAAACTTCTGATATTTTAGGAAGGGACGTGAACGTTCAAGAAGCTTGTGGCGTGATACTAGAGTCACGTGACCCCCGATGTCGTAACAGTATTGTTACAGTGTGAACTTCTTTTTCAAGCTGGCGAAGTGTGATTATAATCAATTTATTTGTCATCAGACATTAGTATTAGGCGTATATTTTGAACACTGCATTCTATATCTAGTCCCTTGATATAGATATAGAATGCAGTGTTAAAAAACATAATAGGCCTAATACTAAGATCTAATGACAAGTAGGTTAAGTAACGATATTGTTCGAATTCCGTTATCGGTACTCTTGCTATAATAGACAAACAACAATAAAGATTGTGAGCAGGACATTTACTGTTTTTGACTATTAATCATGTTTTAAAATATCTGTATCTATATATTTGTGATATAATAAAGTCCAATAACGTCGATTTATATGCATGCTTTTATCTTGCACCAAATAAACACTTCATTACAAAATATTTCACACTATGCAAATCTTTGCAAGTTTAAAAACAGCTATGAAACTCTGAAAACCAAAAAAAAAGTCTTCACTTTTAATACTATTCATCTGAATATCGATAACTGAAATTTTAAGTTTTAGCATTTAACCAAGAAAATTCATTTTGTTATATGTTTGTAGTTTAATGAATTATTGCCTTGAACATCAACAAATGGATGGTCTTGTCCAGGGAGTTAGCCAATTAGACAACCCCTTCAAAGAAAACAAATCATGTATAATCCTTTGAAAGATACGTCGTTAGTAAGTATATTTAATAATTTATGTCAATCCTATATATTTACACCTAAGTGTGTTAAAGAAAGTGTTTTTAGTCCAGAGTATATTAATAAAATGCAGTACTAATGTTTTCGGTTAACAATTTCGTAAAGAAAAGCCTACATTTGAGTTATAGATAAGTAAGTCGTCTAATTTTCACTTTTGTCATAAAATTATTTCTTCACACAAGATGCCAGTGCTTATGAACATAGATATAAATAACACTAAATTGGAAGTCACGTGATTTTCGATATGCGTAAGCGGCCGCCACTGCTATGTGTTGAACTTTCAAAGCCCGCCAGTCGAACTGACGCCCGCAAGGCGATCTCACTTAAAAACTTATGGTCGTTTTCCATCTAAACTAGACGTTTGGATAATATTGTTATTTGATTTTAATAAAATTGTCAAGCCAAAATGATCTAAATCTGATTTTAACTCAGAAATGAGTACAAAAATTGTTCACAAAACTGACCTGTCATATGAATAATGCATTGGATTTTAGCCCAGAGGTGAATCTTAAAATTAAAATATGTTCTTTTTTCTCGGTGTTTATTATGTGTAACAGAAAAATATACATCTCAAATGTTTTTGCCAATGAACAAGAGGTGGCGCGTCTGTCCTTTTCTTGGGGGAGGTGGTGGGGGAGAAAAATGTTATTTATGTATCTTCACCTCCAAACATTTAACGTTCTTAACTGAAGTGGATGGAAATAATTATGAAAATGTATGATATAAATATAATAAAATTCATTCGGATTTATTTGATAACTTGTGACAAAAATTGATAAAAATACTTAAAAAAACCAACAACAACGTGAAGTCCAAAAGAAGTAACACAAATCATCACACCTATTTCATCAATGATGTATTACAATTTACATATTCTGTACTAGACCGAATGGCCATGTTCTCCTCTCCCCCCTTCACCTACTACTAGGATTTTTTGGATCTGAGCCCCTTCCCCACAAGTGGTCTCTGCAAGGTTTTATAATTAAAGGCTTTGAGTGTAGGAAAAACTTTGCTATAACTCTCCAGTTTTTATTTCTGCTTAACTCATGTACACAGTTAGTATCTTATTGTAAAGCAAAAATAAATAATTCCTCATGATACTGAAAATTTACCATCTTGGTGAAACACAGCTTAAGATATTTCACTAATATTATTATTCTGTAATCACAACAAAATCTTTTGGATGAAATGCTAAAATTCTCATTAGAACAGTGATTCTCAAAACCACTCTGCCATTAAGAACAAATGTCATTATCTACAGTGGGATTCTCCTTTGGATGTTGACATAACAAAATCAGGTTATTTAATTATGCAAAACATTTTATTTTACATGAAAATCATGTATTACCAGTGTAGTACAAGACACGTGCAGATTAAAGCATGAAAATAGTGTTTACATTTGATCTGATATATTTAACTGATGTTGACTTCAGAAAAATGTAACAAGTTATGAAATTACAAATTATATAAATTTTCATGTGCAAATAATGTCGTAAGTCTTAAATAGGTTAAATTTATTAGTATATACTTAAATAATTAAAAACAAATGAGACGTGTCACTTTTTATTATCATTTCATCTTATCTGCATACCGTAATATACGTCCAATATTTGCTGTAAGTACCTATGCGTCGTATTCAACCATCTACATACCCAAATTTTCACGACCAATAAATTTGCGCATCATGGACACTTCAATACAGTGTATAATGGTCCTTTTTCAACTTGTATAAATTTACAATTGTGCAATAATTTTAGTCTACCAGCATGTATAATAGCAAACCAACAGATTAAAACATAAATCCAATTTTCACTTAATACCTAATTTTTTCTCTCCAGAAACCGACTATGTATGTGTGTAATGTATGCCACAGAATAATTTTACAAATCCTACAAACATGACTAAGTAGAGAAATATCAAGGACATAGGCCTGACTTTGCCAACTGAGTACGGTACACTACAGTGAATTAGTTTCAAGAACACTGCAGGAATATATTTATCTACAGCATAATCAACAATTTTCACCATTAAATGTACAATTCATAATCATATGCTAGCCAAATTCTGCTTATTCATGTGAAAATCATTTCTGCAGTAATTTGTTTTCATGTGAACATGCAAATACACAATTAGCAATGTGCAAAACAGTTAAGCTGGAAACATTTGTTTATAATTAAGCACAAAGCTACACGGTGGACTATCTGTGCTCTGCCCACCACGGGTATCGAAACCCGATTTCCAGCGTTATAAATCCGCAGACATGCCGCTGTGCCACTGGGGGGGGGGCAGCATTTGTTCATCTAATACACTTAACTGTTATTTCATACATACATTACAATTACATGTAACAAAAGGCGTTTACATATATACTGTAATAAAACTAGGCTCATCCTGTTATAAGCACTCTTCTATATATATCACAGTTACATTATTTATCATAATGACACTGACAGCTCAAGGATTTTGGACTGGAAGGGGCCACCTGTAAACACTTAATCTCTCATGTACTTCTAATAATGAGTCTATGGGTCAGTATTAGGCCTATGTTTGAAATGTTTCCCGGATAAGTTATAACGTCACTGATCAGACTAGACTTGTCTTAAACCATACAAATTAACCCTAATTTCTCTCTCATCCACTAAGCGAAGTGGTATATTTAATAAACTTCTACCTTGACACTCAGTGATAACATCAAAATTGAATGTACACAGAACTTGTATCTATGGGCAGTGTATGTTTTGACGGCGTCTCTGTATAGTCAGACTGGCCAGCAGGCGACATTAATATGTCGTAGATGATTATTTCAACTTATATGAGTTCTTAATATTGTCAGCATTTCAAATCAAAAGCTGTCAAACTGTCATTTCGACTTGTGCAGGTGAAACGCCTTCCAAAAAAAGACTCGCATATATACTTTGAAACTAGATGTAAACATCCACACCAGTTCGATGTCACCACTATGTCCACGGCGATGTTGCCCACTGTTACTTAATATATTATAGAAAAAATAAGGCTTTACTTACTTGTGGAATGTAACACCCTTCGCCTTAGTTACGGTATGTGTAACAGCCAATGGCATAACACTGTGTTCCCTTCGTTCTTTCGCGTTGTGACATAGACGGACGACTGTCACTCTCAGCCATCTTACATTGTGTGTCACTTCGAAATTCAGCACAAAGCAATGGCGACCGCATGCGTACATGCTCCTCAATGATAATGAGTAATGGCTAGCCAATCTAGTGTTATTTATATCAATGATCATGAACATTTATTTTTGAGAATTATATAAAGGTAGCAGATGTGCACGCTTAAATCCATCAGTAGTACTTCCGTTAGATGGCGCTATGTGATACACATGAAGTTCTTAAAATATTTTAGTATTAAAAATGCATCTCACTCATAATTAGCTATACTGATCACGCAGAATATTACATTCACGTTTCGAGTTGGCATTGATGAGTTTTCTTTCTTGACTTCCGTTAACATGCTATTTATCTTAATAATCCCATAAATTGTTTTAAATCCTCTAAAAGGAGAGAAAGATAACTCAAGTTAAATTCCAAGACAAAAACATCGTTTTTTTATCACATATATTTGTTATTGGGAGCTTTGACGCATGAATTATTCGTATGGAGCATATTTTCGAAAAATTCTAACAACTTTTTTGCGTGTTTAGAAATGATTTAATAAGACGACTTAAATTTTTAAATCATATCTACTCAAGAGTTTAATAAAACATAAATCATTATAGAGATACCCATAATACTTGGGAAACTTAAAACATAAAAATGTGGATAAATCAAAATAAAATGTTTTTGAACAAGAACACTTTCCACCTTATAATAAATGATCGATGGCAATATTTATACCTGTGTCTTTGTAATGTTTTTGAATGGGAAACAATAACCCAAGTGAATCTCGAATGAAAACCAAGTAAATATTAAATAGTTCTGTAAAGCAGTCGCATTGAGTGAATGTATATGTTTTCCAAAAGAAATTTTTAAAATTCAAACACATTATTTTACTTAGCGATCCAGCAATTACGCTATAGTGTTGACAGCATTTGTGAATCATTCAATTTCTGTAGTGCATATTGGTGTATAGAAGACGTATTAATACTAGAAATAAACGACTTTATAACACCAAAATGTTGTTTTTATCTAATTAGACATTCAACGTTTCGCTTTACAGTTTCTTCAGGAGCGTTAACTTAAACGCAAACTGCCAAAAAAAAAAAAAAATTGCGTAATGAAATACTAATCTCATACACTTTGTTTCCAATACCGCAACAGTATAAGATTTTTTTTTCAATTATTGCCTTATATTGTCTCATTCCGTTAAATTTATTGTTTAGTTCACATATGTGTGACAGGTGGTGGTATGCTACATATGCACCCTGGAGGCTGGTGGTGAGAGGAGGTCAAATGTTAAGGAATTGTTACACTAACCCATGGAACCCCAGTTTGTTTCGCTGAATTCCTAAAATAAACAAATGTGTTTGCATTTTATTACTTTTTGTTAAGTCTTCCTTAGGAATTCGTGCGTAATCACTCATTGCGAGTATTTCACAAATCTATGAAGGATAAACGTGGTTTCCATTTGACGTTCATTTAGGTAATTTGACGTTTCTGATAAGCATTCATGTTATATCTGTTCATATATATCTATATAATTCTTTAAATACATCTGTCAGTTTAGAATTATTTAGTAAGTGAACTACTATTTAGGTTCAGTTTTCAAATTTCACGAATACAACTCTAAATGAGATGCCCCACCCCACCCCCAATGACTCAGCGCTAAATTTGAAGGCTTATAACGCTAAAAATCGAGTTTCAATACCCTTGATAGGTAGCACAGATAGACCACTGTGTACTTTTATGATTAATTTATGACAAATGAACAAAAATTAACCGCGATCTCTTACTTCACCAAAAAAAAACTAAAAGTAGATTGAAATTGTTATTAGTTTACTGTAAACTACTTTTTGTAATTTCCAAGAACGTAAAATTTTAGATATATGAATTGTAAAACAATGCATTTTAAAAAATATTTCTATTTCGCTTAAACATCTTTTTTTTTGGGGGGGGGGCGAGACATAGTGGTTAGCGTGCCGGACTATAAATCTAAGGATTCGTGGCTCGCGTCCCGTTGCTGAAATCCGCGCTTTGCATTTTGGAACTATGTGTGCGTTATAAGAATGACAGGAAAAGATATCATTATTCGAATAGAGTAGCCCAAATGTTGGAGGCGGGGCTGTTTACTAGCTGCCTTCCCTCTAATCTGTCAATTCAAAATTAAGGACAGCTAGTACAGATAGCCCTTTTGTAATTTTGCACACATATCCAAAACAACAACCGATCAAAAAGCCTGTGAATCCAGTTGATAACCTGCCGATAAACAACAACAATTTTTTTTGAAACATTGGGACAGATAACGCTAAAGTGTAAACATAATCATATTGCACAAAAAACACTAAGTAATTTAATAAGGAAGAAGAATGGTTATCATATAATGAAAAATAGATTGTCAGACGTGTTTCTTGCCAAGTAGAGTTTAAATAGTATTTAAGAATATATAGAAAACCTCTGAAAGTCACAACCGTAATATATCTTTCGAAAACTTTTCAAGACTATCGTCAAAATTACGTGAATTATAACCAGTCATGTAAAAAAAATACGTGAATTTTAACCACTCATGTAACGATGAGTGTCATATAATGGTAAAAGGGATATTACATAACATAAACTCTGATACAGTTTACAGAAACCTTTGATAAGTTCTATGTGACCGTTCTATGAAATTCATGATAATGTTAAGTAATGTGTAGTACTTTATTTTGTATATTTTTTAATTTTTAAACAGGATCGATCGAAGTTGCTGAGTGTGGAAGACAGTAAGGCTATGATCAATATCCATGTAATGTACTTCAGTCAGTTTTATTTATATACACACTTGATTATGTTCTGATAATATGTACACATATTTCAGCATATGTTGTTATTAGATTTAAAGCGATAATACGATATCTTTCTATTTTTTTCTACTTCCTAAAGATAGGGTCAAGATCAAAACATAATTTTCAATTTCAACAAACAAGCGTAATAAATGAAGATTACTGTAAAGTCCAGCAAAATTATATTTTTCATAAAATGTAGTTGCATATATATATATATATATATATATAATCTCAAAAACGTAAGTCCATTTCATAAAGGTAATACAAAACCCCCAAAGCCTGAAGATTTTGAGAGTAGACAACGATTTCGAAGGATGGTCCTGTTCTTTCTTGATCTCAAGAGACTCAAATTATTTAAACTACTTTCAATATATGACCTCATCAAACTATACCACGTCCACTGTTTGTATAAAACTACATTGTATTTTTTTCTAGTAAGCAATTTGCTGTACTTTTGAGCAAACCCCGAGTCAGATAACTAAAATTGATGTCACAAATGCTTACCTTAGGTCTATCGGCGGGTCAGCTGTAAGTTTACGGACTTACAATGCTTAAAGCTATAACGCTTAAGAGTTCCTTGTATTTCATTTTGAGATATTTTAATTCTTTTTATATTTGTTTAAGAATATGAAAAAACACTTCTAAAAATCAAAAACATTTTTTCCTGTTGTAACCATTATTCACCAGCTTAACCTAATATTCATTCTTTGTCGTACTCATCTAAGTGTTTAATGAAATAAGCAGAAGCAAAGCTACATCAACTGTCATTCGACGTTCAGAATACTAAATTAATAAGCAATAGCTTAATGTGTGCAAACTTATCAGTTTCTATACAATAAATATCCTTAGTAATTAGAAAGTTATGGTTTGAAGAGCAAAAGCTGACAAAGAATGGGAATCCGATATAATAAACATACCTGTAATGTTTGTAAAAATAATTCCATATATTGCAGATGTCTTTTGTTCTTGTTTTCAAATTTCTTTTAGTTTATCTATTTTATCTCATCGTCCAACGAAGCTTGCCAAGTTATGATATTGAACAAAAGGTTTCCTAAGCATTGACTTGTGGGAGACAAAACATTGGCCTGAAAGGCTATTTTGATACAACTCTGGTTTGAAATCGTTATGGACGAATTAAGAGAAATATATAAAGAAAGCATATGTAGTGGTAATATATCGAATTTTGAGTGTACACTAGACAGTTAATTATGAGATAGAAGCATTACAGGTCCATATTTAGTGTCTGCACTTGACATACTGGTTTAGTATTTTATAGTAAACTTGTAGTCAAAGAGTTGATATTCTGGTGTGTACGATCTATTTGTAAGATGTCCAAATTCTCTTTTAATTATCAGTAGTATCCACTCTTATTATACAGTATAGATATTAATTATACATGATGATGAATTACTGGATATATTTAATGAAACTCTCATGTTATGATTAAGAAAACTTATAACAATAATAATATAACAACTAATGCGGAAACTTATGCAGTGCAACTGGATCTTAATGTTACCTCTTAAAAATGAATATGAATAATTAATTACCTGGGACATAAAAAAAAATCCATTTCCAATCTGTTACTTTTCCTTTTGTGTTATTCAACTTTAAAGGTATGCCATTTCTATTATATGGCAGAAACTAGGCTTAACATATAGGATAATAAAGAGAGATAAAAACACATATATTTCATTAACCGTTAAAATACAAGATTTACTATGGTATGCCATTTCTATTATATGGCAGAAACTAGGCTTAACATATAGGATAATAAAGAGAGATAAAAACACATATATTTCATTAACCGTTAAAATACAAGATTTACTATGAGCAAGACTTTCACATTGTTACCTAATGTTTTACATGCTGTAATATTGTAGTTTAGAGTAGGTAGTTAGGTGTTAAATTGCTTTTAGAATTTTCGGAGTTGAATGAGATGTATATATAATTCCATTACGTATTTTAATTGTGTACAACATTTGTTTGAGATTTCACAGATCTTCTGTCACATGTTTAATCTTTGTATGGCTTTTCTTAATCATTTTCTTTGTGCTTTGGCAGAATGTATTAACGTGGTAGAAACTCCTTATTAGTAATTTGACGTGGTTAATATTAATCAGTTGATAAAGCACAATGAAATTCATATGTATTTACTAAGTAGTAAAATTTGTTTCACAGGATTACATATGTAATATTTTTTACTTCTCACGAATTGGTTCAATTGTTATATTTCATTGTCTGCCGGACTTTTGAGTATTTTAGTTGTTTGCTTTTAGACAACATTATGAAAACTTAAAATTATTTATATCTACAACCGGGTGTTGAGCGTACAGAAAGTAATGGCTGTTTTGTTCATCATAATATCCGGCAAGCGATAAAAATCACACTAAAATTGCCCTTTAATGGTCATTTAATATTAGAACTTTTGAACAGTACAAGTTTTATGGACATTGGCTCTCCTTTTGTAGAAATCTTCATTTGAAAACCAGTCCTCCCCCCTCCTATTTGTGTTAAGATTTTGGTGAAAGTCTATAGCAAAAGTATGCCCTCGCAGTGCACACAATTGCGGGGGGGGGCTCGACCCAAAAGGCCTGATAAACTAAAGAATTACTCACAAGGGGAGAGACATACAATATAATTAGTTTGAACTAAGGGGCCATTGCACTATTCTGTTAAGTTAATAATATCAGTCAGTCAAAATCGTAATTACAATTATAGGGAAATATATGTAAGGGCCCAATTACTTTTCATGCGGGGGTGTGTGAGGGTGGGGTGGCATTTTTTGTAGTTACGTCACTGTGAAAATCCAGTTCTTTTTGTAAATAATATACCTGTATAAGGTCTTTATTTCAGCGCTAAACTATTCAATATACACTGGGAGTATGTCCGAAAGTCACGTTTACCCAAGTCTCGGTCAATGATGCCGTTTTAGTAACATCTTGGGGAGGAGAAGCAAAGTTGAACCCTAATTTCTACAAAATGCGTGAACTGTTGATGACGTAGCATGTTTCAGAGTTCATACATCCATTGTAATAACTACGTAAAAGACAGAGGGTTATGAGAAAAAAAAAAACAGCAAGAAGGAAGTCTCGACTTTGTGCTTAGTATTAGTAATTACCCATAAACATAACCCATTAACCAAACGTTATAAATTTTTCAAAAAACAATTACGGCTTTGGTGGGGCGACTGCCTCCTTCCCCAACTGGCAACACTGGTCTCAGTTGCAAGTGCATGAAACGCAAGTACTGTGAGCGCAATCCCGATGGGGTCGTGTTCGAGTTAAAGCGAACACAAAAAGAAGTCGTCCATATATGTAAGAATACAATAAAAAAAATCAGGACTAGTAAGAATAACATACTCGTTAAAAACATTTTCATTGTCTTAGATTGTTTAATGGACTGGCATGGCCAGGTGGTTAGGGCGCTCGACACGCAATCTGCGGGTCGCGGGTTCAAATCCCCGTCCCACCAAACATGCTCGCCCTTTCAGCCGTGGGGGTGTTAAAATGTGACGGTCAATCCCACCATTTGTCGGTTAACGAGTAGCTCAAGAGTTGGCGGTGGGTGGTGAATTCTAGCTGCCTTTCCTCTAGTCTTTCACTGCCAAATTGGAGATGGGTAACACAGATAGCCCTCCGTCGTGTAGTTTTGCGCGAAATTCAAACCAAACCAAACCAGAATCGTTTAATGATTGACAATTAAATATGATTGATCAGACCTCAACCACCGAAAGTCATAATTATTAATTGAAGAACATTTATTTATTTTTATACTAAGTTTGAAGAGTGTCCCAGATGCCATGAACATGTTGAAAACTATTCTTACAGTACAAATCAAGATCAAACTGTAATGTAACTGAACAAAAGTATTCCTGCTTTGAGAAGACTACACAAAACAACATTTTGGGAGTTTCATTATGTTTTTCAAAATAAAAGATCGAACCATAAATTTATACAAAGTTTTATTTGAGAAATTCGTCAATTGGGTTTTGTCTTGTTCAAACTTGCCACTAAAACATGGAACTTTCTGTCCGATCGACTCATGATTTTAGGGTTAAATAAAATATAAAAAGCGTGTACAATAAGTATAATTTAAAGGTTTCCAGGCAATAGAAACTTTTTGTAGCTAAACATATATTTAATATTAAATTAGTCATTTTAATAATATAGGCTTAATGTTACTCCTTATCACTTACATGTTTGCTGAAGGATTTTTCTGATGGTATTACTAAGTTACAATCAATTTTTATTTGTAATATACAAAAACATGGATGGATATTGTAGTTGTTTTTCTTTATGATTTGTCATTCAGTTTTAGCATATTTTGTAAAACCAAAAATATTAGAATAAACAAGGTTAGTTGGATTTTATATATTTATGTAATTTTTCCTGTACTTTAGTTACAGCACCAGTAATCATTTCGAGAAGGTAAATTTATTCATAATATTCTATAATATACCACACTAGACTTTTTTGATCTATGAATGTAATTACTAAATGTGCGAATATAATTTACCAGCATAAATACAAATAATGTAAAAGTAGGAAAAGATTAATCACACTGGTTTTTTTTTTACTCTTCAACTTGTTTAAATACCCGCTGATAGCATTCACAATAATATTGTTTTTATACTTTTTTAAAAGCCCCTCCTCCCTTCCTCTCGTAATTCGGTAGTAATTCTAAGGCTTCTAATGCTAAAATCGGGTTTCAATACCCGTGGTAGGCACAGCACAGATAATCCATGTAATTTTGTGCTTAATAACAAAATAAGCAAACAAATCTATTTCATATGTGCTTCTTAGCTTCACGTTCAAAATTTTGCTTGAAGCTGTGTATCCAAGTGTTGTCAAGGTCATGCCTTAATCAATTTTGTAGTTTTTGTATTCTTTGTTAAACGGAGATATCAAAAAGTTTTGTTAATGGTGAAGAGATGAGCCAGAAAAATTGTAATTACTCAAAGAGGAAAGTAATACAATGTATTATCCTTCTTTTTGGTATTCTTCAAAACCTACGTATAAAAACAAAACAATAAACACTCATGTAAGATTACTAGACGACAAAGTTCAGTTTTTTATCTTAATCCTACACGATGATAT